TTATCTGCCCGGTCAGCAGCATGCAGTAATCGAACTTTGCCTTCGCCAATTTCTTCGTCAAGTAATCTGCAGCCATTTCTGTCATAGGGCAGTAACTAGGTTGAAGCTTCCTTTCGCGATCTCATCCTTGACGAAGAAGTACCACAGGACGATGTGCTTGGTTCGATTGGCGAACCTGTCTTTGTTTGCAATTTTGATCGTGGATTGGTTGTCGCACAATAGCGAGAAGGCGGGCATGGTCGCAATTTTCGCTTCCTCGAGCAGCTCTCGCAGGTAAAGTCCTTCTTTGGTTGCAATGCAGAGGGCGATATATTCCGCTTCAGCCGAAGATAGCGCGATTAATTCCTGCTTGCTCGATTGCCAGGAGATATTCCCGATAGGTTCTAGTCGGTAGATCTAGCTCGTTCTGGAGCGACGGTTCTCCCTATCTCCCGCGTGGTCGGCGTCGACATAGCCGAGTAGTTGTACGGATGATGTTGTTACTTTGCTGTAGGTAAGTCCAATCGTCGGCGTAGAGACGAAGTAGAGTAGTGCCCGATTTAGTTCCTTGAGATCCTCTTGCTCCGGCTGCTTCAGGTGTGTCGCCAGTTGGCTTGTGTTGTAGGACAGGTCCGGTCGGCTGGTTACTGCTGCGAACAGTAGACAGCCGAGCTTCTGTTGATATTCCAGGATTTGCTTCGCGGGGAGTTTTGCGGAGGTGTCGCTGTTGTTCCCGTAGCGGTAGGGAGTTGCGACTGCGACTGGCGTTAGGTCGAATTTCTTCGCGACAACTCCTGCGTATTTTCCGGCGTGTAGGTAGAGCGCTGAGTCGTCTTCGACGATGTTTAGACCTAGGTATTGGCTCACGATGTCTGACACCGTGAGTGTTAAATCCCTCTTCAGCTCCCCTTCGAACCAGGTGATGACGTCGGTAGTGGAGCCGACATAGAGTAGAAAATCGACGTAGACGATGAGTAGGACGAAATCCCCCTCCTTCTGTAGTCGGTACATGCCTTGATTGTGCGGCAGTTGCAGAAAACCGATCCTGACGAGGCGGTCGCGGAGGTGCTGCTGCCAGAGCCGCGGGGCTTGTTTAATTCCATAGAGGGATTTCACCAGCTGGCACACCTTTGTGGAATCGTCGATGAATCCGTGGGGCTGTTCGACGAAGTTTTCGGCGTCCACAGATGCATACAGGAAGGCGTTGGCAACATCGATCTGGCGCAGTGGTATCTTTTTCGTGGCCGCAACACCGAGCAAAATGCGCAGGGAAGTGTGTCGGGAAACCAGGGCGAATGTCTCCGTGAAGTCGGTTCCATATCGCTGGTCGAATCCTCGTACGACCCAGCGAGCTTTGAAGCGGTCGATGGAGCCATCCGCATTGGTCTTGATGCGGTACACCCATTTCCCCGAGAGCACATTTTTCCCGTTGGTTTTTGTCGCAGATACCAGCTTCCACATGTTTCGGTCTTGCAGGGCCTTCAGTTCCTTTTCCATTGCTTCCTTCCATTTCGCCTTGTGTTCCCCCCCCAGAGCCTGAGACAGAGTCGATGGCTCGCGCGGTGACGGCGTTGGCGGGCTCTAGACGGCGACCCATAGTCCAAGTATCTGCAGGCTTGTGGGTGTGTGTAGAGGGGAATTGTCATTCTCGGGATAAGCTGCTTCGTCACCGTCTTCGGGGTCGGGTAAGAAATTGGGTCCGACGCGTTCAGAGATATTTGTGTCGACCGGTTGAGGTGTAGCGTAACCCTGGTCAGCGAAGTGGTAATAGGTGTCGAGGTTGTTACTATCGAGAGGATTGTCATCGTCGAGTGGAACGGGCACGGAGCAGTAAGGGAGTGGTCCGGCAGCTTCCGAGGCTTCAGGTACGTCTTCTTCTGCTGCGTCAGCTTCGGCAGCACGGTCGGCGAAGGACCGATGGCCCTCGAAGCCGTCGGTGGGGTCGTCTGTGTTGGCGATGTTGTCCAGGTAATGTTGCAGCGTCAGTCGCTCGTAGAAAATCACATCACGTGAGGCCACGATGGTTTTGTCCTGAATGTCGAGAAGTTTCCATGCTTGGAAATGTTTTGCGATGCCAAGGTGTAGTCCCCACCGTGCTCGTTGAGAGAATCGACCTGCTCGGGCTGTGTGGGGTCTGTACTATACCATGCAGCCGAAGACTCGAAGTAATTTTGTGCTGCCCTGTTTTCCTGTCCACAGCAGGTGCGGTGATGCGTTGTTGGGAAGTGATGACGAGGACAGAAAATTGTGTAGGTGGACTACATGCGTCATCGCGTCAGGCCAAAGCGTGTTGGGCAGCCTCTTTTATGGTTCTTCATTAGAGAATGCACTACAATTCACTACATGCACAGAATGAGTCAATATCCTGCATATCTTGCTGCGGTGCTGTCGGCATTTCATTATCATAATCTACTTTCTCCTTTCCCTTCCTGCTGCTACAAGACTCGGGGAGGGCGTTGCTAAGGGGCTTCCTCTTCTTATAAGCCCGCCAGATGGAGACCACCTCTTGCCAGTCGGGGTCATACTCTAGCTGCGACATGCACATCAGATCTCCTAGCCTAGTATCCTTGAGAGCCCCCCGCAGCCAACTCTTGATGACGTTCTGGCGGGAGAACCCACGCTCGCACTCGACAGTGCTCAACGGAAGGACAGCCACCGCCACCCATAAGTTGACCAGGTTGGGGTAGCTGTCCCTCCAGTCCTGCGTCTTTAGCATGGCGCTCAGCCCCGCGTGGAATGACCTGTCCGCCTTGGGAAGCGCAGCAAGGACAGGAACGAAGTTGCAGAGCTCGCTCTGGGCTTTGCGCTTGTCTATACCTGATCAGACAAGGGCACACAACACAAGGAAACGGAGAAGGGTTGGGTAATCTGAATCACTACACAGGGTTTACGAAAAGACATGTGTCTTGTTTCATATACATTGCGAGAGGGATACTGAAAGGAGTAAACAAATTTACCTGGCAGAATTTCGTCCCTGTCTTCAGCGCGGTAGATGACCACGAGCGAGTTGAACCACTCGAGGCACTGCGTCCTCCGTGCGTGTCGGTCCCAGTTGGGCGGCCATGTGTCGACGCTGAACAGGCGCGCTCCCGACAGCTGCCGCAGATCGCCTAGGCACTCGTCGAGGTTGCGGACCAGGCCCTCCGCTAGAGCCATGCACGCCACGACACTCCCATCGTGGTCGCTGGGCCCCGGGTAGTCCTCTTGGGGCTCTTCGTGCAGCTCGAAGGTGAACCGTGAAGGTCGGCCATCGGAGTCAATCCCCTCCACTGTCACTAGCTTGGACTTGCCGGGCCCGTGCTTGGCGAGGAACCGCATCAATCGATCGTTGGGCCCGCCGGTGAAGTCGTCTCCGCAGTCCACGTAGCGGCTCTCTAGCAGCGAGGTCGTGCGGATGATCTGCGCGTGCACCGTTGTGTAGTCCAGCTGGTGGGTAGGGGGGCGAGGAAAGCTAGGGCATCACAGAGGGATGTGTGGTTAAGGGACGAGCGGCAGAGACGAGCAATATCGACATGCATGAAAAGTTGCAAACACAAGCATTAAACATATTTACCTCCCGCTGCTGAAAGACCTTGTTGAGCACGTTCAGCAGCTCGAGCACGTCGGCGAGGAACATCAGGAGGAGCCAGAAGCGGTAACTGGTGACGAGCGTGTACAGCTTGGCGTCGTACTCCTGCAGCATGACCACGATGGCTGGTAGGACCTCGACCAGGCGGATGACAGCATCTCCGCGCGACAGCCAGCGGATGTTGTGGATGCCCTGGAGCTCAAGGTTCGTCGACATGAACACCTCCTGGAGCTCCAAGAATCGTTGATGCCAAGGGTTGGAGCGACCGAGTAGCTCAGCGATCTCGCGAATGATGTTGTCAACCATGCTGAAGACAGGGATCTCCTCAGCAGCAGCCTTTGCCGCCAGCGCCTCTCTGCGTGGGATAAGGGGATGAGATGCAATGTAGGAAGCAAATTAGCGATTGGAATTATAAACAAAACAAGCAAATAAACATGACACGCACACAGCAAATGGTTGACGAACCGATGGGCAATGCAATGGCAAGAGACAAGGTGCGGAACGCGAAGACGAAGGCGGGCCACAAGTCCAAAGCGCGCTCCCATCATGACGGCAGCGTTGTCAGTGCTAATGCCAGAGATGCGGCCGAGGTCGACGCCAATCGCCTGCAGATGGGACAACAAGAGGGCGAGTAGCGATGCCGCATCCGCCTTCTCCACCGTCAACAGAGCCAGGTACTCGGTTACAAGCCGCCCTTCCCGGATGAATGTGGCAAACACGATCATGTGCTTGCCACGGCAGCGATCGGTGCTTTCGTCAAGGCTCAGGCCAATGTAGGGACTCGCCAGCAGGTGTTGGAGTTGAGTCGTCTGTAGCCACGTGGCCGTCGCTTGTGTCAGTTCGCTGAAGCCGTACCTGTTACATGACACGCACAGTGCAAGTTGTAAGTTTCATATCTAAAGACGAAACATAGCGAAGTTCATAGTCACTGGAGTTCTCACCAGTTATAGTACGTGCCGTAGGCAGACTTTGGGAAGCCCTTGAAACTGCGCGATGAGAGGTATTGCACCAAACGAATCCAAGTTTCCATGGGTTCGTTACACTTGGCGCAGAAGTAGAGGGAGTCGAGCAGCGCGATGACTCGCTCCTTCTCGTCGTCGGCCGCGCGGGGATGCAGGTCGATCCGCTGCTGGTTAGACGCCTGTTGCAGGAGATCGTCCTGCTTGGACATGGCGAGGCGATGCTTCTGCGTTCCGGCGTGCTTCTTGAACGACTGTGTCTGCACGTCCTTTGCTCCCTTGCCCGATTTGCCGGTACGCCCTGCAGGTCCTGCATGCACTGCGCATACACTACACTTGAAGGCCGGGAGCCCATCATCCGTTTTCAAAAGCATGAGCCAAGGGAATCTGTCAGACCAGCGAGATTTGAAACGCTCTTGGGCCTCAGCATAGATGTCCTCGCTCGTTCTAGCAGTGGACCTACCGCCAGACGAATCTGGCAAGTCCGCATGTACAAAGGGGCTCGGCACAGGCTCAGGCGGATCCTGGCATGTCGACGTTGAGGCGTACGGCAGAATCACCTGCCTGTACCGGAACCTCTTCGCCGCCGTCACCGATGGCGTGGTGCCGGCGACAGGAGCTGAAGCAGTGGGCAGGGGGCTTGCATCCGCAGACTTCTTGCCCGCTGCATCGGGAACAGGTGCATCGCCATCAGCAGGGGCAGCGTCACCAGGCTTCCTCTGAGGGCTACGATCTGAAGCATCCGACTGCCGCAGGAACTTTAGTGCGGCCGGACCATCGCGGAAATTCTCGGCACACCAGTACTCTTCGTCTTGTTCGTCATAATCTGCCTCGTCTACGTCCTCATCGAGGTCGACCTGCTCCATGGCCTGCAGGGGCGCGGTGGGAAAACAAACGCACTGAAAGAAAACCGAGGGGCTACACGAAGCTTGGCTGAAGTTTTGCTGGAGGGGGGAGAAGCAGGGGTCGTTTTCCCCGTCAGTAAAGAGCTGATGGAGAAGGAGGGGGTCTGCCAGCTGCAACTCCATCGCAGCGCGCGAGATGCTGTCCATGCATGAATGAACCAGGCACTCGTCGCGTCAGCATGGGTGCGGTGCCTCGTCTGCTGTGCCTCACCCAGCAAAATGCCTCAGGATTGGCGAAAACAACCGTGTTTTGGTCAAGGACCAATCGGCAGCTCGGGCTATCTCTGTGCTGGCTCCATCGCACAAAATTTGCCCGCCCGACGGCTCGGGCCGCGCTAGCGCAAATGTAATTCTGGCGTGATTGACGGAGACGACAGAGGTACCAACGCAAATCTCGCAACCCCCCCTAAAATGACGGTATTACAGGAATCAGAGTCCCCCCCCCATACACGGATGAAGCATCAGAGTACACTTGTCAAAGAAGTCTGAAAAATCAGAGTAGGTACATAAAACTTCTCTGAAAAATCAGAGTAACATAGAAAAAAAAGTCTTTGGAATCAGAGTACACCCCCAAAAAAACTCTGAAAAAAGTCTGAATCAGAGTAAAAAGTCTGCAATTTGGGGGCCTGGTTACGACTTTCCTCGAGTGTAGTGTTATACTTCAGAAACGCTCAAGTCCTCGAGATATTTCCAACAATTCCATTGCATGTTGCAGAACACTGACAACAGTGACGATAATTGCGGGTAGACTCCCCTTCACTACAGGAAAGCACAGCAAGGCATTTTAGGATGTGGAATGGGGAAGGAGGGGGGATGCCGCAACAGGTGATGGGGTGATTTTTTCCTAGGAAAAGATGGACAATATGTTTGCTGCGACCACTTCACCCTAAACTCTAAATTCTTTGAAACCTGCATCTGACTAGACTACCCTACACCCGATGCTCTCAAGCAGAAATAAGCATCGTCAGTAAACGCTCTCACGCTGCATTGCATATCTACCGTATCTTAATCACAATCATACTCTTGCCAGAACTATGTACCTCAAACCATATCCTCCCTACACGCACCCTTCCCTTCATGCTATCTCATCGACAATCGTCTTCATCTTATCGCGCATCACAGACATGCTCGGGCGGTGCTCCCAATCAAAGCTTATAGCGAATCGGATGAGTGTGAACGTGATGTACACGTGCTTCTTGCTCCACTCGCCCTGTATCCGCTGGTCCACCACCAGGTCCGGGTCCGGAAACGTCTTGGCCACCACCAGCCTCCGCAGCTCCTGAAACTGCTCCTCTAAAGCAAGGCGCCCCGAGACCAGCTCGAGGAGGAAGACGCCAAAGGCATAGGTGTCGGACTTGCGGCTCAGCTGGCCTGAGGGAATGAGATGAGGGAGTGGGATATAGGACGTGAGAGTGAAGTGCAAGGTAGAGAGCGTGGGGTGGCCGAGGCAGAGCGAGGGAGGCACACAAATGAGTGGGGTTGGGGCACAAGGGAGTGAGGTCTTGGTCACCCCGAGCCTCTGCAGCTCCTGAAACTGCTCCTCCAGCACGGATAGAGCTCTAGGAGGAAGACGCCAAAGGCATAGGTGTCGGACTTGCGAGTCAGCTGGCCTGAGGGAATGGTGAGGGATAGGTATGGGCGGCACAGAGGGAAGAGCGTAGGGGGCCACACAACACAAGGCAGTGAGGCCCTGGCCACCATCAGCCTCCTGAGGTCCCGGAAGTTCTCCTCTAGCACCAGCAGAGATACCAGCGGCCAGGGACTAGCTCCAGGAGGAAGACGCCAAAGGCATAGGTGTCGGACTTGCGGCTAAAAAGGCCCAAGGGAAAGAGATGAGGGAGTGGACGAAGAATGGAGGGTGCACACCTTTAGCAAATGCATGTAAACACTGAAGTGGATGGACTTGAATTATTAAGTGGATGGATGAGCACTCCATACCATAGGGAGTATCATACCATAAAGAGTATCACATTTGGCTGAATCACCTCATTGGATGTAGATCCGGTTGATATGCCCCATGTTGCCATCAGCCAGTGTGCATTATAAGGAGGATGGACGGATGTAGGCCATGCACAGACCGACCCATAAACCGCTGTACCACGGGTTGGAAGTACATGGGGGGTCGGGGGGTGTACCCATGCTGCCAAGCACTAGATGTGTCCCACAGGAAGGATGGATATGCACGGCACTAGACAAGACCCACCCCACACGAGGTGTCTCACCGGACTGTACATAGATGGGGTCGATGCATGCATCCACCCCATGCTTCCCATTCCCCAGTGCACCTCATAGGGCGAATGGATGCTTGTAGAGGTGGCCGTACACACCACACCCACCGACAGGAGGTGTCTCACCGGACTGAAAGTAGATGGGGTCGATGTACCCCATGCTGCCCATCACTCGTGTGCTCACATGCGTCGCCCAGTCTGTCACGGCCTTGGCCAATCCGAAATCCGCCAGCACTGCTGTCAGATCCTGATTAAGGCACAGGAGAGGCGAGTGAGGGAAGGGAGAGGGATGTGAGACAGGCCAAAGGTCAGAGGTGTGAGAACATGCATTTCCCAGTCAATCTAGGCTTGGCCAGCCCAAAGCCAGCCAGCATTGCTGTCGGATCCTGCAACGCACGAGTGTGGTGTGGGAGATAAGGCAGCGTTTGCTCAAACGTTGCTCCCTAACGTTTCTACTGCCCAGCCCGTCATGGCTCATGTTGTGACTTTTGAGTCGACTCAAAAGTCACCTCTACTGCCCAAATTCCACGCAATAGGCACACTCACGAGAGATTTCTGAGAATTCGAAAAATCTCATGGGATAGGCACACTCACAGCGGTCCTATGCAGCGGTATGTGATGCCATACGGTGCCATGCGGTGCCTTCAGGCAACCCCACCTCTCTGAGCAGCACGTTGGACAAGTCGCAGTGCATGGAGTTGGCCTTGTGGATCGCTGCCAGTGCCTCCAGTGAGAATACAATGTTGTACACCGAGATACGAGGTGCAGCACGGTACCCTCACCTCTCTAAGAAGAACATTGGATGCCTTGAAGTTGCAGTGCACGTAGTTGGCCTTGTGGATCGCTGCCAGTGCCTCCGTAGTTTCATGTAGAAGGAAAAGTGTGACAGCGCATACAGTGCGGTGCGATGCGGTACTACCAGGCAACCCCACCTCTCTGAGCAGCACGTTGGACGCCTTGAAATCCCGGTGCACATAGTTGGCCTCGTGGATCGCTGCTAGCGCCTCCGCACAGCCCAGAGCCACGATCATGCGTGCACGCCAGGGGAAGTGCACCTCGCCCTTGCTCGCTGGGGGAAAGGCAAGGGGGAAGGTGAGGGGAAGGTGAGGGGAAGGTGAGGGCGGAAGGTAGTGGGGAAGCGAACCATCACCACAACCTAGAGACACAATCATGCGTGTGCACCAGGGGGAGTGCACCTCAAACTTGCTTGCTGGGAGGGGAGGAAGGGAGGGCGGAGGGAGGGAGAGATAAAGGGGAGGGGAAGGCCAGTATTGGGGAAGAGAAGCATCCGCACACCCAGAGAGCCACAACCTTGCGGCACGCCTGCCAGTGGAAATGCACCTTTCTCCTGCTGGCTGGGAAGGGGGGGAGCAGAGGAGGAGGGGGCGGGGAGGAAGGTGTGGGGGAATGGGACCATCAGCGCAACCCAGAGCCACAACCACGCGCGCCTGCCAGTGGAAACGCACATTGCTCCTGCCGGCTAAGAGGGGGGAGGTGCAAGTTGAGGGGCGGGGAGGGGGGGGAAGAGGCGGCAGGGAGTGAAGGAGGTAAAGGAGATGAGCAGACCCGTGGATCACCATGCGCGCGCGCAGGGGACAGTGCACCTCGCCCCTGCTGGCTGGGAAGGGGGCCAGGGGACGGGGGAGCTAGAACGGTACAGGGGAGGAGGAACATGACCACACCCAAGAGCCACTACCATGCAAGCACGCCAGGGGAAGTGCACCTCGCCCCTGCTGGCTGGGAGGGGGGAAGATGGGAGGGGAGCCGCACACGAGGGAACGTGATGAAAAGGTGCAGCGGAGGACAACCATCACCGCCCGCACCCTAGAGCCACTACCATGCACGCCTCCCAGGGAACGCGCACCTCGCCAGAGCTGGCTTGGAGGAGAGTGGGGTCCCGGAGGGGGAACGAAGGGCAAGCACGGGCGAGAGCGAGTCACACACGAGAGTCGAGACCCAACACGTCCATGCATGCATCAGCAGCATAAACGTTGTCCCCAGAGTACATTGTTGGACGAACACATGCATGCATCCAGCAGCAGCAGCAGCAGCAGCAGCAGCAGCAGCAGCAGCAGCAGCAGCAGCAGCAGTACCAGAAGCAGCATACGCACATGCTTTAAGGAACTCAGTGCAGTCGCCCCGTGGGATGTACTCGTAGACGAGCACGGGAGAGGGCGAGTCACAGACGAAGCCCAGCAGCTGCAGCACGTTGGGGTGCCGCATGGCCGTCATTGACGCCACCTCCACCTGATAGCGGGTGTGAGTGCATGCAGGCATTTAGGGGAGGGGGGGGAGGGGTTCAGCAACACGCATAGCCGAATAGCCCAGCAGCTGCGGCACGTTGGGGTGCCGCATGCCCGTCATTGACGCCACCTCCACTCCACCTGATAGCGGGTGGGCAGTCACGTCGGGATTCGCGCACATGATGGGAGTGACTGTCTAGCCAGAAAGCCGACGAGTTGGACAAGCTGCAAGATGTTGGTGTGCTGCTCATGTGATGATCACACCAACAAGACGAATTTTCAATCGACTCAAAAGCCATCTGCTCATGTGATGATCACAGCAGCATCACTCGATGGCTGGCAGTCATTGATGTCACTTCCACCTGAGGGCACTGTGGGAAGAGGGGGGGGGATTGGGACAAGGGGGGGATTGGGGGGAAGGGTGGGGAGAAGGGGGGATTGTATTAGGAGGAGACACAGACATAGCTGCATGGTTTTGGTGTGCTTCATGGCTGTCATCGATGCTGTCATACGCACGTCAGATGGCTGGTATGCACGTCAGATGGCTGGTATCAGGGTTCAAAATTACGGCGTTTTTTATATTTTTAGCCCGTATTTTACGGTTTCGTAATTTACGGCCGTATAATACGAATATTACGGCTCGAAATCACCTTTTTTGAGTTGGTTCAAAAAAACGGCCGTTTTTTACGGCCGTTTTTTTAAATCCGTGGTGTACATTCAGAATCTCGAATTCCGTACCAGAATTGTGGGGATGGGGGTACACGCGCACCCCCAAATGTTCATAAGTCAACGTTTTCTTTTCGCGAAGCGCGAATTCACCCAAACCCCGAGTCACGCATTTTACCAAATTTTTCTTGTGCCGTTATGAAAGAACCCCCCCCTTCGCGAAACCCGTTGGTTATTTCGCGCCCAGTAGGGTGGTCTCGCACAATTTGCAAAACCACCATGTCGAAGCGTGTTTCTAAAACAGAACCCAATGGATGTTGGTTCTCTTCGAAGCCTTTCTCAACCCAACTTCGAACTATGTGAGATACAAATACAGAGGACGTTTTCTAAGCTACCACAGGACGTAGTTTGGAGTGTTTTTCCGGCTGGAATCTAAGCCATTTTACTCTACCGCCTAGCAACTCCAGATTTCCATGTTTGTAGGTGCCATGGTGCATTACTAAGCATTCAGTTGACGTTGAAACCGCATAGGAGCCATTCCCCTTCGGAAAAAAAAAAACCATGTGGTCTATTTAAATTACGCCGTTTTTTTCCCAAACTGCCCGAAAAAAACGGTCGTAATTTACTGACCGTATTTTTCGAAAACCGTAATTTTGAACCTTGGCTGGTATGCACGTCAGATGGCTGGTATGCACGTCAGATGGCTGGTATGCACGTCAGATGGCTGGTATGCACGTCAGATGGCTGGTATGCACGTCAGATGGCTGGTATGCACGTCAGATGGCTGGTATGCACGTCAGATGGCTGGTATGCACGTCAGATGGCTGGTATGCACGTCAGATGGCTGGTATGCACGTCAGATGGCTGGTATGCATGTCAGATGGCTGGTATGCATGTCAGATGGTTGATATCAAAGGTACATAATGTGTGTCGCATGCGAATCATGTGTCTCACATGCGCATCACATGTTGTACATGCGGCCATCACCCCTAATCGCCACCTCCTCCTCGCGCCCATCCGGCCCCACAGATGCTTGACCCGCTTGCTCTCGTGCACGCAAAAAAGGAAGACATCACCTTGACTGCCGACTTTGAGGCGCCTTTTGGAGGCGCTTTTGAGGCGCCTTTCGGAGGCGCCTTTTGGAGGCGCTTTTGAGGCGCGTTTTGGAGGCGCGTTTTGGAGGCGCCTCAAAAGAAGTCATGGCCACCACCTTGACCGCCGCCTCCATCTCCCGCCCCTGCGGCTCTACGTGGTGTGTGACCTCCCTCCCTCTTCCTCATGCATACATACCACCCTTGGTGAAAAAAAAGCGGCGTTTTTAACCTTTTTTTGCCGTATAAAACGGGATTGTAAAAAAACGGTCGTTTAGTACGAGTAAAACGGTCAAAAGTGATGTTTTGCGACTGGTGGAAAAAACGGCCATTTTATATGGTCGTTTTTTTCTTACCGTCGTAGAAAACGGCGGTTCGCTTTATATCGAACCGCGCAAACACGTGGAGTGTACAAGACTCGTTTGCCAAATCGGACGGTGGGTTTTCGACCGAGCCGAGGAGGAGGACGGCTAGGGCGAGGAGGAGGAAGACTATTAGGAGGAGGAGCAGAGCCCGCCTAGGAGGACTAGGAGGAGGAGAACTAGGAGGGTGAAGGGAGGACTAGCCACTAGATTGAGAAGGACAATGAAAGGAGGTCCAGGAGGACGTGGATGGTAGGCTGTCGCCACCACCAAGCCCTCTGTTTCCCCACGTTTCAAAAAAAAAAAAAAAAAAAAACTCTGACGAAAAAATGGCAGAATTTACACAAATCTGCCATATAAAACGGATCGTTTAATACGGAAACCGATTTTTTGCACCCTGATATCACCCCACCCCAAACCTTCTGACAAGTCTCACACCACATCTTGCACTCGCATGGAAGCTGGAAACCCCGACCCTCTGACCCCAGGGGGGATGATAGAATCTCCTCTCTTTCCAGGCATAGCACTCCACACCTCATGCTGACTCGCACCTCATGCTGACTCGCACCTGATTCCGACTCTCGCCTGGAAGCTCGACACCCCAGAGGTGGGTGGGAGGGGGTTGAATAACTTGCCTTCTCTCGTGCATACCACTCCAGACCAAACCACATCAAACCAAACCCTATGCTGACTCGCACCTGGAAGCTGGAGACGCCGCCTGTGATGTGGTCCGCCGCCATCACCTTCACCGCCACCTCCATCTCGCGCCCCTCCGGCCCCGGGGGTTGCATGGCCTGCCTTCTCTCGTGCATATCACCCAAAAACCTTCTGACGAGTCTCACATCGCACCTTTCACGCACCTGGGAGGTAGAAAAACCCCTGTGATGTGCTCCTTTGAGGCGCCTCAAAAGATGTCGAGTCTCACACCCCATCTCTCATGCACCTGGAAGCTGGAGACGCCGCCTGTGATGTGTTCGGCTGCCATCACCTTCACCGCCACCTCCAACTCGCGCCCCTCCGGCCCCGGGGGGTGAATGAGCCGTCCGTGGTACACGCGGCCGAAGCCACCCTCCCCGATAACGCGGGAGAAGTCATTCGTGGCTGCCACCAGCTCGTCCGTGGTGAACTGGCGCAGCGACGAACCCTCGGGGATGGTGGCGCTTGCAGGGTCTGTGGAGAGAGAAAGAGGGGCGGGGCACGCAAGGAATGGAAGGAGGCCAGGGGACGGTCAGGGAGTGGAGAGGGACGGGGCGGGGACAGGAGAAGAGAAGCAGCCCCGGGGGGTGCATGAGCCGCCCGTGGTACACGCGGCCGAAGCCACCCTCCCCAATTACGAGGGAGAAGTCACTCGTCCAAGGTGAACTGGCACAGCGACAAACCCTCGGGGATGGTGGCGCTTGCAGGGTATGTTGAAGGGAGAAGGGGGGAGAAGGGGGAGAAGGGGGAGAAGGGGGAGAAGGGGAAGAAGGGGGGCGAAGGGGGAGAAGGGGGAGAAGGGGGAGAAAGGAGATGAATCGCAGCCAGGAAGGGGTAGGGGATAGGGGAAGAGGGGAGGAGAGGAAGGGGAGAAGAGGGGAGGAGAGGAAGGGTGAAAGAGGGGAAGTCATCGGTGGCTGCTACGGCCTCTGCTGTGGTGAACTGGTGGAGCGAGCAGCCCTCGGGAATGGAGGTGCTTGCAGCGTCTGTTGAAGGGGACAAGGCGGAGGGGAAGGGGAAAGCGGAACGAAGAGACGAGCGGCCCGTTGGTGGCTGCTACGATCTCCGCTGTGGAGAACTGGCAGAGCGAGCAGCCCTCGAGGGGGGAGGCGGCTGCAGGGGCTGCATGCGGGAGGAAGTAGGGAAGAGGGGTGTGTAGGGCGGTACAGCGGAATCGAGAAGTCGTTGGTGCGCTGTGCGAGCTCGGCTGTGGTGTGGTGAGAACTGGCTTGGACAGAGAGACGTGGGCAGCAGGGTGTTGGGCGGCATTCCCTGAGACTCTGCGAGATGATGGGAGTTGGGAGTTGGGAGTTGGGAGTTGGGAGTTGGGAGTTGGGAGTTGGGAGTTGGGAGTTGGGAGTTGGGAGTTGGGAGTTGGGAGTTGGGAGTTGGGAGTTGGGAGTTGGGAGTTGGGAGTTGGGAGTTGGGAGTTGGGAGTTGGGAGTTGGGAGTTGGGAGTTGGGAGTTGGGAGTTGGGAGTTGGGAGTTGGGAGTTGGGAGTTGGGAGTTGGGAGTTGGGAGTTGGGAGTTGGGAGTTGGGAGTTGGGAGTTGGGTGTTGGGTGTTGGGTGTTGGGTGTTGGGTGTTGGGTGTTGGGTGTTGGGTGCTGGGTGTTGGGTGTGTTCCGTGACAGTCGACGCCCAAGAGAGGGGAACGGGAGACAGAGGGGGGCTGGTTTACATGGTCCAGGGTGCTCAGTGCGCAGTCATGCATAGAGCAGCAGATTGGATGTAGGCAGGTCGGTGGGCAGGATACTCCGGATGCTGCGAGATGCTGTTAGAGCCGACTCACGAGAGAAGAGGATGGGATGGGAGATGCGGGGGGCTGGCTCACATGGTCCGGACGGTGGGAGTGCAGGTTGGCTACCAGAGACGCCGCGGGACCACCTGGGTTTCTGTGAGATGGCATTTGAGTCGACTCACACGAGAAGGGGATGGGAGATGCGGGGGAAGTGGCTCACATGGTTCGGCTGGTGGGAGTGCAGGTTGGCCACCAGAGACGCCACGGGACCACCCGGGTGGCTGCGGCTGCTGCTGCGGCTGCGGGGTTACACAGCAGTTGCCCATGCCGTATCGCCCTTCACGTCTTAACGCCTTAATGCCTTCGCGCCTTAATGTCTTCACGTCACGCCTTGATGCCTTCACGCCTCCACGCCTTGGGGATGGGGATGGGAATGGGGATGGGGATGGGGATGGGAATGGGAATGGGGATGGGGATGGGGATGGGGATGGGGATGGGGAGGGGGAGGGGGGTTAGGATGGGGATTAAAATGGGGTGGAGTGTAGCGAGCATGCATGGTGTCAGCGTGTGCAGCTAGCTGCGAGCTCGTCAGCGCCGGTCACTGCCAGCTCGACAGTGAGAGAGAACTTGCGGCGGTTCGAAGCAGCATGCAACTTTTGAGTCGACTCAGAAGCGTGTGGCGAGCACGCATGGAGTCGGCGCGTGCAGCTGCGAGCTCGTCAGCGGTCCCTTCCACCTCAATAGTGCCGTAATCGCCAGTTTTCAACGGTCATTGCCGCTTCGACGGCTGTTCTTCACCGCCACCCGCCGTTCTAAAGACCGCGCTTCGGCCGCCACGCCCAGACCAGCACGCGCCGTGCATTTGCGGCGACTCGAAGCGGCATGCGGCAAGGAAAGAACGCAACGGTGTGACGCGCATAAGTCGGAATCAGCTGGCGCGGATGACGATGAGCGGGTGAGCTTTTGAGTCGACTCAAAAGTGAGCAGGTGAGCGCGTGAGCAGGTGAGCGGGTGAGCGGGGGAACAGGGGAGCGCGTGAGCGAGTGAGCGGGTGAGCGGGTGAGCGGGTGAGCGGGTGAGCGGGTGAGCGCGTGAGCGCGTGAGCCGGTGAGCGGGTGAGCGGGTGAGCGCGTGAGCGGGTGAGCGGGGGAGCGGGTCAGCGGGTCACCGGGTGAGCGGGTGAGCGGGTGAGCGGGTGAGCGCGTGAGCCGGTGAGCGGGTGAGCGGGTGAGCGCGTGAGCGGGTGAGCGGGGGAGCGGGTCAGCGGGTGAGCGAGCGAGGCGGTGGCAGAGCACGCATCATGAGTGAAGTCAAAAGCCACTGAGCTGGAAAAAGGTGGTGCGCTGTTGAGGGTGCGCGAGTGAGCGAAGCGTGCGCGAAAGCGAGAGCGCATGCGAGGGCGTAGTATCACAGCCAATGCATGTGCGCGCGCGTCCGTGCGCTCGCGCGCGCGTGCGCGTTTCACAAGAATAAGCTCCCCGGACAGTGGCGTGCGCGAGTGCGTCAGCTCAACGATGACTCAGAAGTCACCTCGTCAGCTCAGCGATGTCAATGCGTGCGTGCGTGCGTGCGTGCGTGCGCGTTTCCGCAGAATGACTCTCCTGGCTATGGCGTGGCTAGGTTTGAAGCTGCCTCTATGGCGTGCGGAAGCGACGTGATGCTAGGGTTGGACCGCCTCTGGTCACAACTCGTGTTGACAGAGTTAGAGCGATGAGCGAAGGGTTGAAATTACCTTTCACGTAAAAGCTCTAAGCCTCGACGCTCGCGTCTTCAGCGGCGACCAGAGCTACTAGGAGAATGTAGAGCTTCTAGGAGGCAGAGGTAGCACGTCGATACAGTAAACCTACGAATGCTTAAAATCCGGGACGTTACTCTAGAAGCCGCTTCGCGCAGGGCGGCTCGTAACTGGCTAGTGGTAAGAGTCTCTGAACAGCTGCCACTCTCAACAATCGTGTTCATAAATACCAGAAACTGCATTAGCGGTCACTAGGTGTCATTCCATGCTATCAAAAGGCTTGTTGCTTTGACGAACGACCTGTTGACGCCGTCTGGCTTCAGCTTCTGCTATGAAGACCAGCCTAGCCACGCGAGAATCGGGATGGGAGTAGAGCAATGGCGTGAAACACGGGCAGCAAGCTTCAGTGGGTGGTAGGAGTGGCGAACCTGAGGGCGTGAGATTGCGGTTAACTACGGTTGGGTGAGATTCTCTGCGAGTCAGAAAGTAATTGTAGCGACATGAAACGGTTAGGTAGGATGTTGAGCGATTAACGTACGTGTGGGGCACGCCCCGAGTTATCCAGTTGTAGCTGACAGCAAGGAATGCTTCGCCTGACCAGTTGTAAAACTGCTTCGCGAATGCATTTCGTTACTACATAGTGGAGGTCGCCAGGCTGTGCGACGTGCGAACCTAGCCAACCGATTATGCACATCCAACCCAAGAGGGTCTTGGGACACCGCCACGCGATGAGTTAGACGTGCAGCAAACGCGTTGGTGAAAGTATTGTTGTCGGTAATAGCAACCTCGAAACACGTATTAGACTATGTTGAAGAATGGGTGAACATGTCCTAAACGAGCATGTATAGTAATTACTGTTGGGGCGATCCCACAATTATCAAGTCCTATTGTACAACAGGCTTCTTCATAAATGAAATAAAATCTCCTTTTAATTGCCTGCCTTCCCTACCAAGTCAAAAAATGGTGAGCATTAAGGCGTATTATCATAAAATAGCATCAACACGATAATGGCGTTTATTGATTCTGATGCTACTTCATATAGTAATGGAGCACCGCTCATCAGCGAGGGCTCAACGTGCAACACTTTTGGGAATTTTTCACTGATTGCTTCACTCGATAATCACCCCCTAAAATGTCAACAAATATATTTGTTATAACCTAGCTAGGTCAGTTCTTAGAGGGTACAATACCCACTCTTGTACTCTCTCGACATTGTTGGGCTGAGAAAAGCCCTAGGATCTTTTCAGAAAACTAAGTCCTTGTAACAGAGTGCTTGAGAGCATAGCGGAAGACTTGATGAACTCTTGTACTGGTATGCGAGAACAAGTGATTGATTATAACAAGGGAATACAAGGGTTATACAGTAATACAAGAGCATATGAAGAGTCTAACTGTTTATGCACTTCGAGGGGTATATTCCCTTTTAAGAACGACTCTGGTAACCACACGTACTGTAATACCGGGACGGTTATTTGTCCTTGCTGTCGTGCTACCTTGACTTTTGTATTTCTGGTTGTTGAGTTGCATGGTCAACGGTCTGCGACCGTTGCCCTTTCGTAACCTCTGTGAGGTGTCGTCAAACTGCGTCAACCGTCAGAGGTACTGTAGCAGCCTTTGACTCGGTAATCCTCGATGTTGTATCCTTCACGTATTGTTACAGCTACGTGATACTCCTGAAATGGTCTAAGTATTTTTATCATCTCCAACACCCTCCTTCATTTATGGAGTGTCATTGTGGTCGAGGCTGTTGACATGTTGGATGTAGTACTGGAACTTCGACTTCATAAGCTTCTTGGTCAAGTAGTCAGCTGCCATTTCAGTAGTGGGCCAGTAGGCCAATTGGAGGCGTCTCTGCTCGATCTCGTCTTTCACGAAGAAGTAGCGAAGGGAGATGTGCTTTGTTCTGTTCGCGAATGCATTTTTGTTGGCGATTCTGATCAGCGATTGGCTGTCGCAAAAAAGGGAGAAGCTTGGTACAGTGACGGAAACAAATGTCTGTATGTTTTGCATTAATTTGGATTTATAAGCTCTAAGATCACTATACATAAAGCCTTAATGTTTAATCGTGGTACGATATGGGAGGGGCACATAGTGGATGTATTCACAACCAAAAATCCAGAATAGCACATTGGATCTAACTCATACCCCAAAGGACATACAAATCGTACATCCGCACAAATAGTTCAAAGCAGGACATACGGACAATTGTTTCCGTCACAGTAACTCGGCAATCTTCGCTTCTTCGAACAGCTCGCGCACGTAAAGTCCTTCATTTGTAGCTGTGCAGAGCGTGATATGTTCAGCTTCAGGAGAGGAGAGGGCGATTAGTTCTTCCTTTCCCGAGTGCCAGGAGATAGTGCCGATAGGCTCCAAACGGTAAACGTAGCCGGTGCGAGAGCACATGTTGTCCTTGTCGCCAACGTTATCGGCGTCGACGTAGCCGATAATCTCCGTCTTAGTAGTGGCGTTCATGTGGTAGGTGAGGCCAATCGTCGAAGTCGAAATGAAATAGTGGAGGGCGCCATCGAGTTCCTGCTGATTCCCCCCTTCAGGACGGCAGGTGATGGCGGCAAAGAGCAGACATCCCAGATTCTACTGATATTACTGGATGCTGGCCGAGGTGAGTAATGAGGAGGATGGTGCGGGAGCCGGCGGCGCGTAGAGGTACGGAGTAGCGAGGGGCAGCGGGGAGAGATCGAACCAGGGAGCGATACTCTCGGCGTACTTGGAAGCCGAGAGGTGAATGGTGTCGAGGCCATCGGTGATGTTCAGCCCAAGGTACTGCATCATGGTAGGCGACACCGTCATAGTGAGTTGGAGCTCCAGCTCCCCCTCGAACCAAATGGTGATGGAGGTGGTGGAGCCGACGTACAGGAGATCGTCGACATAGACGATCAGGAGCACGTAGTCACCGTTGCGAGAGAGGCGATACATGCCCTGGTCGTGGGGCAGCTGGGCGAAGCCCATGGTGGTGAGGATGTTGTCCAGGTACTGCTGCCACAGGCGTGGAGCCTGCTTAATCCCGTAAAGGGATTTGATGAGCTGGCACACCGGCGTGGGGTCATCGACATACGTATGGGGCTGCTCAACGAAGATATCTGCATCGACCGGGGCGTAGAGGAAAGCTGTGGGGACATCGATCTATCGCAGAGGGAGCTTACGGATGGCATCGACGGTGAGGAGGATGTGGTGGGACGTGTGGCGACTGAAGGGAGCGAAGGTCTCGGTATAGTCGCGGCCGTGCTTCTGGTCGAATCCGCGCACCACCCAGCGGGCCTTGAAGCGTTCGATGGTCCCATCTGCCCCTGTCTTCACGCGAAAGACCCATTTTCCCGAGAGGATTGTCTTTCCCGTCGTTTGGGAAATCGGAATTAACTTCCAAGTGTTTCTCTCGTGCAGTGCCGCTAACTCCCGATCCATTGCCTCTCTCCATTTTTCCCTGTGCGGTCCCTCCAGGGATTTCTTGACAGTCTTTGGCTCCTCGACTTGCAGCATGGAGGGCGGCGGGTGTACGGTTGTGACAAATCCAAGTATCTGCAGGCCAGTCTCGGTGTAGTTGGGAATGGTAGGATCCACGGGATAAGCAGCTTCGTCTCCCCCTTCAGAGTCAGGTATGAAACCAGGTCCTATGCGTACGGAAACGTTGCTGGCGACGTTGTGGGATGAAACGTAATCGTTGTTGGCGAAATGTTAATATGCTTCAATGTTCGCACTTTCGCGAGGATTTTCGACATCCATCCGCATGTCGATGGAGCAGTAAGGTAGGGGTCCTGCAGTTGCAGATGCGTTCGGAATGTTTTGCTTGTCCAAGTCATCTTCTTCGTCTGTTGATGCTAACGCGCGTGCTCTAGCGAAGCCACCAAACGGGTCCTGATTGGTAACGATTTGTCGAGGTAGTGGGGAAGGGTAAGGTTTTCGTAGAAGATCACATCACGTGCCGGTACTGTTTCTTTGTCTTTCATATCAAGAGATTTTCCATGCCTTGTAATGCTTTTCCATGTCGAGGTGTAGTCCCCATCTTGCACCATCCAAAAAATGTCCAGCTCTTGCAGTGTGGGGTTGGTACTGTACCATGCAGCTGAAAACTCTTAAATTTTTTGCGCTGCCCTGCTTCCCTATCCACAGCAGATGTGGTGCTGCGTTTTTTGGCAAGGAGCTAGACAACAGAAGACTCTGCAGCAATACAACGTCATTCATCGCCTCCGGCCACTGTGAGTTGGGCAGTCGCATGCCCCGCAGCAGCTTCCTCATGGTGTTCTGGCGCTTGGTGGGTGAGCGTAGGGGAGGGTGAAGAGCCTCTTGATTCCCTGCTCAGCAAGATAGTCCTTGAAGCACTATAACTGGTACTCCATTGCCTCGTCTGTTTGAAAACTTTGTAGCTTCACGCCCCCCTCCCGCTCTGCTGCAACAAGCCAAGCGACGAACGCAGAGAAGGCGAGGTCGCGTGACGACAGGTTAAGATGACAAGTGTAACGCGTGGCGGCATCGACGAAGGTGATGACGTAGTTGAGGTCAGCCTGGCCCACTTTACGCGGGATATACAATTATGTCACAGTATAACTTATTGAGAGGAGTATCCTTAGGTGCGTTGGGGTTCTAGTGTGACGGGAACGGTTGTCGGGGTAGATCCACTTCCGGTCAAATGAAACACTTATGTCGAGGTCGTCGTAGCGCAGCCGTCGCGAAGGAGAAGAGACACACCCCCTGGGCTAGATAAGGGGCAGTGCTGAGAAACAAACACGCAGCTCAGGGTGGCACTACTAGTCTAACCTCTGAGACAGGGGTCTGAAGACCAGTAAGCAAGAGTACAAACAAGACAGGAGCACTATTAGTCCGGCCATTGGAAAAGAAACCACAAGGCCAGTCTGAAAGGTATATATAAAGAGGAGTACACAATTAAGGTCCTAGCAAGTGAGTAGCTACAGGAACTAGACCAAGCTGCAAGCAGTGCCGCTGATGATCTTTAGGCGCAAGCGCCTTAGTAAAGATATCAGCTGTGTTGGCACCGGAGGCCAAGTGTACTACGCAGGCCTGGCGACGCTGTTGTAGCTCGCGTACGAGGAAGAACCGCAGCTGGATGTGCTTCGCTCTACCCTCAAGTCGAGGCTTCTGACACTGGAGGATCATGGCCCTGTTGTCAGCGTACATAACCAGGGCATAGCTAGGCTGCTCACCTAAGTCAGTGAGCAAGAAGGTCAGCCAGCGGAGTTCCTGTGCCGCCATGGCACCAGCATAGATCTCAGCCTCACAGCTAGACTGGGCAACAGACGAGGAGCGAGTGGACCTCCACAAGATGGCACCTGAACCAAGGCTAAAGCAGTAGCCTTGGGAGGACCTGAGGGTCTCAGCGTCGTCTGCCC